GGTGGAATCATATTTAATCCACCGATTCATAGGCCGACCAGGTTGCTGGAATGTTGCGCTTGGTGGGGAATCGGCCAAGCCAGCATCCAATCTCTACTTCACATACTGTGTGTGGAGGAGTCTTGCTCCCCCTGTGAAATGATACACCCAGGATGGTCATTGGCCGAGGTGAGGGAAAAGAAGTGTTATATACACTCCGACTCACTAACATGGAAATGGAAAACCCACTGTTTGTAGAGGAAAGTAGTCTTCCAAGAGGCAATTTTCCACTTCCATGTTAGTGAGTCAGAGTGTAGATTCGAGTGTCATTTGGCTTGTGCAAATGTTGATTGTGAGTGACTGTCCTTCTTGGTGGCCATGTTTTGTGTGTATTGGTGTGTGTGCGCATGCAACCTTAAGCTTTTCTTGTTTTTTTGAACATTCCAGGAAAATGTTGACCGTTTTGGTAAAGTCGGTTCCGTATCCAAAAAATCGGTGGCACGGATTGAAACGGAAAACCACTTATTCGCGCCGGAAAACCACTTATTCCCGCCGGATTGAGCCGGATTGATTTTATTGATTTTGGAGCACAAATTTTATGGTTTTTCATTGGTTTGAGAACGTATGGGCACAAATTTTATGGTTTTTCATTGGTTTGAGAACGTATCATTCCTTCTGCATGTTGTCATGTTCGACTGCTCTCTTGAACTTTCATTTGACAAGCTTTTGCTTCTTACATCGGATGCGACAGTCCTTTTTGCACACGCTTCCTGATTCCAAAGGGTGACTGGTTGAGAGAGGATCTTTATTTTCTGTAGAATGTGCTGGTGATGGTGCTGTGCCAGGTGGAGAGCAGTGTACATCGATTGGGCGACTGGCTTCTTTGAAGAAGGAGTCAGGCTTGGCTGGGAAACTTTGCACTGTGGAAGGAACATATACGTATCGCGAAGACATATTTCTTGAAGAAAGAAGGGTGTGTGGAAGTTTGCATTTGGTAGAAACACTTTGGGACAAATTGGAACACATTCATAGATTTCTGCTGTGTGGTTCAAGTGCATGGAACTTGGATACATTTCCGCAGTCAGCCGCGTTCACGCACACCCGCGCAGTGAGCAAGTTGTCTTCGCGCAACACGTTCAACGAGGGGCAAAGGTACATGAACAACCAATACCAGCCTCCCACAGGGCCCCCGCAGCCGCAGGTGCTCTAGCCTTTTTAGTTTCTCGTTTTTGGGATGGAGTTCCCTTCAATGCGTCTTTTGCAAACCTAAGGTGTGTTCTCAAAGACTTGTCTATTTTCCCTCTACCTTCACCCACATACCTGAAATGTACTTTGAACATATATTATATTACCAAACAATAACGATATATATGTCTTCTCCTCGGTACATCTGAGGTGAAAGAAGAGGTTTTGGCACCAGGTGGACCTTTGAACCTCCCATCAACTCGGGCTGCCCCAGTTGACCCAAGCCAGCTTGGTGCACCCATGCCCCCTACTGACCAGCGAGGACAGCAGCAACCAAGCCTTGATCAAGCATACCAAGCAGCTTTGAACAGTGAGGCGGCAAAAACCCAGTCGTCTGCTGGACTGGCTGTTTTGGACGCCCAAACAAAGCTACGTTTGGCAGGCCTTGCAGACCCAAGAACCGCAGTGTCTCAGTGGGAACAGTTACAACAGTCACTCAGTCAGCAAAAGCGAGATCTTCTTCAATGCCAACAGCAAGAAAACCAGCAACAACAACTGCGCAAGCAACAACAAGCCAGGCAAGAACAGCAGCAACAGCAGGCTGCGTTAGAGTTAGAGCAGCAAGCACAGGCAAGGACACAAGCACAGGAAAGGGCACAGCTGCAGCGGGAAGAGATGCAAGAGCTTCAGCGCAAACAACACATTCAGCAGAAGCAGCAACAGCAGGAGAAAGCTCTATGCCAAGTACAAGCTGAGCAACTGAAACAGGCAGCGATGCAAGAGATTCACCGCAAACAGCAACTTCAGGCAGAACAACAGCAGCAGGCCACTTCAGACAAACAAGCACAGGAAAGGGCACGGCTGCAACTGCAAGAGCTAAAAGACCTTCAGTGCAAGCAGCAACTTCAATCAGAGCAACGTCGGGCCCTGGCAGAGCAGCAAGAGAAGGAGAGGATGCAGCAGCAGCAGCAAGCACTTCAGTTCAAACAGCAACTGGCACAGCAGCGGCAGGCCTTCGTGGAGCAGCAAGTGCATGCAAGGATGAAGCAAAAGCAGCAGCAGCAGCAGCAAGAGATGCAAGAGCTTCAGCGCAAGCAGCAACTTCAGGCAGAGCATCGGCAGCCAGCCGTGCTAGAGCAGCAAGCGCAAGAGCGGATGGAGCAGCAGCATCAAGAGATGCAAGAGCTTCAGCGCAAACAGCAACTTCAGGCAGAGCAACAGCAGCAGGCTTTCTTGGAGCAGCAAGCGCAAGAGCGGATGCAGCAGCAGCAGCAGCAGCAAGAGATGCAAGAGCTTCAGCGCAAACAACAACTTCAGGCAGAGCAACGGCAGCAGGCTTCCTTGGAGCAGCAAGCGCAAGAGCGGATGCAGCAGCAGCAACAGCAGCAAGAGATGCAAGAGCTTCAGCGCCAACAGCAACTTCTAGCAGAGCAACGGCAGCAGGCTTTCTTGGAGCAGCAAGCGCAAGAGCGGATGCAGCAGCAGCAGCAGCAAGAGCTGCAAGAGCTTCAGGTCAAACAGCAACTTCATGCAGAGCAACAGGAGCAGGCTTTCTTGGAGCAGCAAGCGCAACAGCGGATGCAGCAGCGCCAGCAAGAGATGGAGATGCAAGAGCTTCAGCGCAAGCAGCAACTTCAGGCAGAGCAACAGCAGAAGGCTGTCTTGGAGCAACAGCAGCATCAAGAGATGCAAGAGCTTCAGCGCAAACAGCAACTTCAGGCAAAGCAACGGCAGCTGGCTTTCTTGGAGCAGCAAGCGCAAGAGCGGATGCAGCAGCAGAAGCAAGAGATGCAAGAACTTCAGCGCAAACAGCAACTTCGGGCAGAGCAACAGGAGCAGGCTTTCTGGGATCAGCAAGCGCAAGAGCGGATGCAAGAACTTCAGCGCAGGCAGCTGTGCCAGGAGTTGCAGATGAAGCAAGAACAGCAGCAGCAGCAGCAAGAGATGCAAGAGCTTCTGTGCAAACAACAACTTCAGGCAGAGCAACGACAGCAGATTTTCTTGGAGCAGCAAGCGCAAGAGCAGAAGCAGCAGCAGCAGCAAGAGATGCAAGAGCTTCAGCGCAAACAGCAACTTCAGGCAGAGCAACAGGAGCGGGCTTTCTTGGAGCACCAGCAGCAACAGCAAGAGACGCAAGAGCTTCTGCGCAAACAGCAACTTCAGGCAGAGCAACGGCAGCAGGCTTCCTTGG